GGCGGGTCCGGGCTGGGGATTCGAACCCGCCACCTTAGGTGTATGTGGCTGGCGCCTTAGCCGGTTGAGCTATAGGCGCCGAGCCGAAAATGAAACTTTTAACATACTATGTTAATTTGTCAAAGTGTTTTTGAGTATAAAAGATAGAATTCAGGAACTGAGAAATAGGTGGAGAGGGATTTTTTTTTCTTTAACTCTTAAGAAATATATACTAGGCTAGGCACAGTGGCCCATACCTATAATCCTACTACTCTGGGAGGCCGAGGTGAGCGGATTGCCCTGAGTTCACAGGTTTGAGACTAGCCTGAGCAAGAGCAAGACCCTGTCTCTAAAAATAGCCAGGCCTTGTGGTGAGTGCCTGTAGTCCCAGCTCCTGGAGATGCTGAGGCAAAATAATCCCTTGAACCCAAGAGTTGGAGGTTGCTGTGAGTTATGATGTCATGACATTCTACTGAGATGACAAAGTGGGACTCTGTCTCAAAAAACAAAGAAACAAAAAAGAAATATACAGTAGATACTCCCTAGGTGACCACTTCCTCCTTAAGGTGACCCAGTTTTCATAGAGCAGACATGCACTGCATGTGTGTACTATTGAAGAAGGCCTTGTTCCTTATGTTGACTTGTGTCTGTTGACCAGTTTGTTACAGTCCCTAGATGGTGAACTTGCAGAAATTTTACTGTATTTGATTATTTTGACTATGTATAAATATTCTTTTCTAGTCTATGGTTATGAATCACATCTTCATATAATATTATTCTTGTCAATGAGTAAGGACAACCCTGGCGTTTGGGTGCTTCACATTTTACCATTGTTAACTAATAGTTATCTACTTTGAGAGTTATCATTTTTCCATTTATTTCTTGATTTTTAAAAGCATAAAAGCACCATTGTACATAGGGACTCAGAGAGGTAAGGAGAACAGATGACTTATGTGTAAGCAGCAGTGTGATACAAATCAAAATAAAATATTCAGGCCTACTTGCTCAATAAAACCCCATTTTTACATAATTTGTTTCATTTGATTAAAAAAATAGAGTGTTTCCGACTATTGTGGGAAAAAAAGAAAATTGAATATAACTTTGAGTTCATTTCTAGAGAATTTGCTTAACTATAAAAATTAATTTTTTGGGATTTTTCTCCTTTTTTATTTTTTTATTTTTCTCCTCTTACTTCATTGGGTTGGGTTTATTTTTCTGGTGAGGGCTATCATAATATAAAGGGAATGAGTAAATTCCTAATATGGCCAAAAGATTTTCAAATGCTGGATTCTTAAAATGTTGACTTTAGCAAAGTTCTCTACATACATACACTTAAGGGTCAAATAGTTTTGCCAAAAAGAGATGATGAGAAATGCTGATCTCTTCTGTCCTTTGCTACCCTTCAAACCCACTCCTTAGTGGGAACCATACTTTTATCAATACCAGTATTTTGTCATTATCTAGTTTATTGTTATAGTCAAGGAGTTTACCTCTTACTGTCACCTTTCACCTTAGATCCCCCTTTCCATCTTCTTGTAATATGGATACATATATATGCATACAAATAACTTTTGGCCCATTACTTGTCAATATTTATATCACTGTGACAATGTTATTATTGTTTACTTCACAGGTCAAATGATGTACTGTGATTCTATTTCCTTTCCTAAACGATCTATTGTTTCTCTTGAATTTATAAATGCTTCTTTTTTTATTTGCTTAGTTTTCTATATAAACTTGCCTTTAATTCTTTTCACATGCCACGTGAAATCTGTCTGTTATGTAAGTATTGACCTTATTTTCCAATTCCTTCAACCCATTTATCGAAACTTTCTACCTATTGTATTTTCTCTTGGAGTTCTCCTTTTGAACTGGTTATTTTTTAGGCCTGCTATGTGGTTGTCATCTTAGGACTGGTCTTTATTGCTCTCCTGTGTTTAATTCACTGTTTTCCTGGGTCCCTTGATTTTTTTTTTTCCTTAGTTTACTACTTTCTTTTGCTGAAGCACATCTAGTAGCTTTTTAAGAAAGGGTTCGTTGGATATAATTTTC